GGTGTCCAACTCTTCTTACAGCAGGTGACAGGCAGTGGAGAGGATGACAGGAAGCAGCAACAACTGTCCATTACCCTTTTCCTTGCTATTGTAAATACAACCTCTTTTAATCAATTTCCTTGGATTTTACTAGCTCCAAAGTCTGAAGCAAGGTCTCTTTAAGCACCTTCATAAGAAGCTATAGAAATCTCACCAGACAACTTTCAACCACCTTGACATGTAAGACTTCTGTCCACATCTCTAGAGAAGACAAATTGAAGCCTAAGAAAGGTTTTATCCCAGCTGTGATTGGCTAGGATCAGTACCTAATTTTGTCTGATTCTTTCCACTGTACCACATGTGGTGGCTATGATAGCTGCCGTATTAGAAAGTCACACTTTTGGGAGATGTAGGGTGACTGAGAGAAAAGTTAGGGAGTAGAAAAGACAATTTTGATTTTTAGCTTTTACGTCATCAAATTGGAGCGATGTGTTAACCTCTTATATTCATCTAAGAGTTTAGAAAAAAACAGCATATTTTTGCTGAAATAGCATCCAGGGAAGTTTTCCTTTCCTAGTAATCTTGGATGTTTGCCACTTTTTGTGCCAGTGCTTAATATAGGCTATCTACTTTTTTTTCAAACCTACATTTGGTTCTGGGCAGGACAAAATTCGATAATGGCAAGCTGGCATTTTGAACAATAGGATTTGTGTGATGCAAAAGACAATCTCAAGTTCCAGGTGTTGCTCTTCTGACAGTTTCCTTACTGCCCCAGTGGCTGTGAGTTCGAACAGCTTACTGATGCCCTGCAAAATTCACTGTCCTGTTTTGCTCTTTATTGCTGTTCTTCTCCCTTTTTGCAGGGGGATATAAGACAGGAAAATGCGATGCTGAGGAAAGCTGAGGGACACAATGAGATGACATATGATGTAACCCCCAAACTCTAAATGACTTATTATATGACTTTCCCCAAACTTCCTTTTCTCATTTTTAATCTTGACTCGGCAAAGCCAAGCGACTTAAAAGAGAATTTTAATAGTATTCGCTTGTAACTATTTATGAGACATCTGGCTAAGGCCTCAAGAAATTACTGCTTCAATTTTGCTAAACAAATTGTCAATCATTTTTTTCATGTTGATATTTATTTCATTTATTTATTTTAACTTTAAAAACACATTTTAGTCACCTTTTTTTCTGTATAAGGAATGAAATACAGAGTTTTATACATGCTAGCCAAACGCTCTTCCACAGAGTTTTATCCCTAGGCTTTGTTTTTTTTTTCTTTTTTGTATAAGATAGGGTCATGTTACATAGCTTAGGATGGCCTCAAACCCGAAGTTCTCCTATCTCTAAGAAAGCTGGTATTCAGACATGTACTATCATAACTGGGTATAACCACAAGTTTTGAGCATTTGCTACATAACACATATTAAATGGATGTCTTTATATACTTTATCATTACTCTCACAGTGACTTCCTGCACATTCTTGTGGCTATAAAAAACTAGAAGTGAGGGACATAAAATCACTTATCTAAGATGTACACTAGCTAATGGCCGAGCTAGAATTCAAGACCATTTTTAAAACTCAAAGTCGTGCTGAGAACACAGCGTGAAGGAAGTGGATAGAAGGAAGGAACAAGGATGTTGCCTTTGAGGCTTTTAAAATCAGGGCTGCAGGATAACTACCAAACTGGCCTGTTTCAGCTGGATAGAAGAGTTAAGTGTGGCTTGGGTCACGGAGTCTCCGGGACAAATACTCAGGATTCCTGGTTTGGTATGGTGCCTTAGGCCTATTTTGCTCCCTCCCCCTCTTTTGGTGTTTCAGCCTGTCAGGTCAGCCTCTGCGTTTGTCTGAGGCTTGGGGTCTAACTTCATCACCACATCCCTTCTCTTTCTAGGTGTACGTCTTCTAGGATGTGCTTGCTGCTCAGTGGATGCTCCTGACCTGGCCTTCTGCAGTGTCACGCTCCGTGTATTTGACAAGCTGAGTTGGACACTCTGTGTGGTAGAGTGTCAGTTTGTCAAATACCCCAAGTGTGGCTCCTGCCTAGCATCTCCAGGCCCAGGACAGAGCAAATAGCCTGCAGGATATATACAAATGCTTATGAACCATCGAGCTTTCTCAAGGTACTCTGTGGCTCTGAGGGAACTATAACATTTCATCAGGAGACATCAGAGTAAGGGAGGTCCAGCTCTGGGGCCGACAAATCTGGGATCTATCTACACACCTTGTGAGACTGCTATGGAGTGCCCAATGGGATTCAAATATATTAAGGGATACCAAGAAGGATGTGCAATTTGATTTAGTATTAATGTCTTCTTTCACATTCCTCTTCCTGCAGCCAGAACACCAGAGTTTTTCTACAAGCATCTTGACATCAAGAAGAAAGTAGGACATAGCAATCCACTTTCTTGTCCCTGGAGCACACATTGACCTTGCCTGCATTTTCTCTTTTTCTGTTTTCTTTTGTCCCTTCTCAAAGTACTCTTTCTGTTTCTCTTCGCACACCCAATTCTTCCATGTACATTCAGACCCCACCAAACTCCAAACACTCTGAGCAGTTCGGAACATCGACCTATACTTTATCTTTACTCCTTGAGTAGATCCAGGTATGTGCTCTTATATTTCCTGCCACTCACTACATCCCCCTAAATTGTCAGTGAAGATTTCCAGGGCATATTCTTGAATTCCCCATTACATTGTAAGAGTCTAGAGCATATTATAGTTACTTGATTGCTGCATTCCCTACTATTGTCCAGTATTTTAATTTGTTTAATAAATGTTTACCAATTAATTGATGTTCTACTAGTCCATTGCCTTTGGTGAAATATCATGCGGGGTTTTGTGAAAAAAAATCAAACTGTGTGTATTCCAATGCTAACGTGTACACAAATAGGAACCAAACAGATTTTTTTCCAGAGAAATAAGACTTAGGACTGGAGAAGGAGGGTAATAAAAAACAGACTCAGAGGGCAAGTGAATTTTGGAATTGTTTGTTTATGTGGAGCTTTTAAACATAATTTTCTGAGCCTTTAACATTCTGCACTGAGTGAACTTTAATACAGAACTATAGAAAGGCATTTCCAATATCTATCTCCAGAGTCTAACATTTCATGATATATATTTTGGGAAGTTTCTCTAGAGAAATTCCATACTTTCCCTCTGTTCTGGAGATATCTAATTTCACTCTTACTTCCCACGCATCAGCCAGCTACCTAAATGACAAGACCTATCTTTTCACCCCATTTTTTGCTTAGAAGAGTCACTCTCTATAGGAAGGACTTACTGGCTTATCCTGCCTGGGAAAACACCGTAGTTTAGGAGCAAAGACCATCTCTAGCAGATGTCAGCAGCAATGCAGGCACACTGCTAAAATTCACGGATCTCACTTCCAGTCTTGTTTAGCCATTGTCTTGATGTCTGTTACTTTTGACAAGTCATCATTTCTCTCTGAGCTTCGTTTCCCATTTTGTGATATGTGAATGCTCAGATCAGTAATCCTTAAGCTTTTTTCAAATGAAAGACCAAGAGACATCCCTGATGGTTCCTGCGTTGGGGGGTTCTGCATTTGTGACTAATTTTACTAGAGAAATTTCAATAATAATTCTCTCCTCAAGTCCAGGGATTACTTTTTTTTTTTTTTTTTTTTTTTTTTTTTTTTTTTAGCGGAATAAGATAAATGAGTGTTTTTAAAAGGAGCTTGAGGGGGGCTGGACTAAGAGCTGTTTCGTGAAGGAAGCTGAGGTTTCTGCTGAGTGAGGCCACTGTTGTGTGGAGGCTTGTAAGTAAAATGGAGAAGAAGTGATCCTTCTCACCAGTTATGTGTAGCTAGCATTCAGCAAGGAAGAAAATGCTGAGGTTTTGATCACAAACTTGGCAGTATTAGTGGGGGCAAAATGTGGAGGCCTGTTACTTGCTCATTTTTGTGTACTGTTTTGACTTTTGTAATCATCTCAAAGTGAGAGCAGCTCTTGTTGAAACTATAGGCAACGTAGTAACTCTCATGAATAGTAAAGAAGTTGATTTGATATGAAATACATGGGGGAAAGGAAGCAGTACAAACCTGACCCCAATTGGTTTCTAGACAAGGGAATTTTATTCAATGGTACATAAATATATAGCTCTCCCCCCTCTTCTCTCCCCTCTTGTCCCCTCCCCTCCCTTTCCCTTCCCTTCCCTCTCCCTTGCCTCCTCACTCCCTTCTTTATCCTCCTTTCCCTTTCCTTTCCTTAAAAAAGATTCTGCTACACTTAACCCTCTCCACATTGCAAGAAGAGTTCAGGAGTTAAAGAAAATAACTGATGAATATTGCAACTAACCCAAAGATTTTAGTGATACTACACACATGTTTTAAACAAGGAAATTACTTCATATCTATGTTCATTGTCCTTTGAGAAAGAAGTAGGGCTTCTTGCCACACTTCCTGTTGCCCTGAGAAGAGTCCCTAAGTAGAACTGAAATGAAGATGGAGTGGGGGAATGGCTATTCTGTAGAATACTGTTTAGAAGAGATTGGTTTGTTTTAGATAGGACTATTCACGGTGTGAGAAGGGAAATGGCATGAGTTGGAAAGTGAAAGACTAAGTTTAGCCAAAAAACAAACTGACAGCAACAAAAATCTATAGTATAGTTTAGCCTAGCATTACAGAACTACAGTCCCAGCTACTTGGAAGTCTAAGGCAGTTGGCAAGCTCAAAGCCTAGAGTGAAATAAAGGCAAGCTTGAGCAAGTTAATGAGATCTCATAAAAATAAAATGTTAAACAAATACAAGAATATAGTTTAGTAGTAGAGTACTTGATTAACCCTGGTTAAATTTCTTGTAACACACACACACACACACACACACACACACACACACACACACACTTTCTTGTAAAACACACACAGACACAGAGAAGAAAAGGGTCTAGGGGGGCTTACCATCTTATTTAGTCTCATTTTAGGTAAGTCCTACTGTTTCTTAAGACAAACACAACTGAAGTTGCTGTCATGATTAAACATTTATTACCACCAGAAGAATAGAACACAAGAACATTAGGTTTGCAGTGTAGGAACAGATGTGTACCTTGGTCTTTGATTTGGCAATATTAATTAATTAACACAGATGATTGCCTGAGTTGTTAGGACTGAGCCTCATTCACCTGCTTTTCTGTTGATGCTTTGAGGCATGAAAAAGAACCTTTAGTGCTATGGGAAATTCTCTAGTGTTTTCAGAGGAGGTGTGGAGGCCCTGGGCAGGAACATAGAAGGGTCCAGGGCCAAACTCAGAAGCTAGCTTTCTTGAGGGGCACATGGTAAATTCTTAGCCAAACCAGGATTTCCCAGTGGCCCCACCAATGGCAGAGTTGATACTTTAGGTTGTCTAGGAAGAAAGGAAGCAAGCAAAAAGTCTTAAAGAGCTAAATAATCATAGGCAATTATGTCAGTAGACCTTGACTTGTAACATTTTAGCAGATGCTATTGTCTTCGGTAGCGACAACTTAGTAGTTTCGAGGAACTGTGTGAAGCAGGCAGGAATGAATAGTCATCGTCAATCTGGGTGGTTATCTAGTACTCCTGGCCCAGGCAAGGACTCATCAAAATAGTCATTGATCAGAGCATGGGAATCTGGTTCGTCACTGAAGTACCCATTTGTGAAGGTAGTCACCTCTGTGGTTTCTCCAGAGTTTCTGGTCTCCTTGGCACACACCCTGTGGACCAAGAGCCAATTAGTCATGAGAAAGATCTTGGGCTTAGATCCTGCCTTCTAGCATCCTAGCTCTTAAGTTCTTATTCACTGACTCCCAGGATCCTGTTAGGCGGGGACTGTGGGGACAGAAACCTGGTATACCTAAATCATCTTGTATGTTCATTGATCCAGGATATAACATGAGAACATTCATCTGAGAGGGTAAAATACTTTCTGACCCTGAAGGATTCTGCTTGGGCTAGTCTTCAGGTTTTCTGCTAACAACCAACAGAATTTAGGGTATTGAAGGGTTAATATGTTAGAAAAATGTGTATCTTACCTGTTTAGTTCACAGACATACTCTAGAAAACAAGGAAGAATCAGGTTAGAAATTTATATGGAGAGTATATTGGAGCTAAGTATGAAACCTCAGTACCAGTCCAAAAATGGGGGAAGGAAACAGAAGAGAATCCAGGGTACCAGCTTTGTAATATTGAGGGATGTTGTCATGAGTTAAAATATAAGGACACATATTTTTCAGAGAAGGGGATGGTACACATCCTTGTTCTCCATCCCCTTTGCCATTTCTGACTCAGACCATTAAGCTGAAGATATTGTTTGCTGTGGGTAAAGGGAAAACACACCAGACCTGTTCTTCACCCAGGATTCTCATCAAAGATTCACAGAAAATTCTGTGGGAAACTTGATTGCCTAGCTACATCCCAGGAAAATGCACTGAATTTGGTTCCATGTCAAGAACCATTTTCAAGTGCACTGACACTGACCTATTACTCAAGAAAGGGCTCGGTTGTTGCATAACCTCTTTTACCACATATGTTTATGAATATGTATACATATATGTATATGTATGTGTGTACATATATATGTGTATATGATTTATAACATACATGGATAAGTTGATATTTCATTGAATTAATAAAATATTATTACTTAAAATCTTAAGACTAAAAGGACCCCAACCAGATAGTCATTGCCCCCTAGTGTTGTGGAGAACTGTCCTCTAATCTAGAGGACTAGCCTGGCACAAAGATGGGTATTTCTTGATACAGCCCTCTTCCCTCTAGGTGCTTATGATCTTTCAGGTTAGCAACTGGAAATTCATGTACTAAATTACAAGAATGGTAACAATGCAAACTATGGGAGTTCTGTTTTGTAGAGACCCACCTTTCCAAGTTTTATCTCCCCCACTGGACAGGGAACTTCTTTATTTCCAAGGTTGTTTTTTTTTTCTGTCTTAACTTGCTTAGTATCCAGAGTACAACCTATGCTCAGTAAATACAGACTAAATTGAATTACTGCTGTGACGCTGTCTCTCTTAAAGAGAAACAGGAAGTGGGAATTCTGGAAAGGCAAACTAAGAAGGTTAAAAAAAAATAAAGCACAAAGACATGTTATGTAAGTTTTAGTTGCTTGTCTAAATTCAGTGGCTGGAAATGAGAACAAGGAAAAGCGACTAGTGGATGGGAAGAAAACAGAGCTAGACCCACATCATAGAGGGTCTTTAAAAGATGACTTAACCTGATTTCTTGTTCCCTTGAGCTACTAGGGACAATGAAATATTTTGGGATATTTTAAGAGGAAAATAATATGTAGTTACTGTCTTAACCTTTAGAAGACTATGGTGAATGGTTTCCTTCAAATCGAGCTGGTATTTGTGGCCATTTGAGGAATTTCCATTCCCTAGATCATCCTGATGGATCGCAGTCATGGTAACTGGCCAACACCATAGGTTATACTTGAGACCCTGGGGAAAGTGATAGACAAGACTGCGTTCTATTTAATTAAAGTGATCCAAGGCAGAAAAGATGGTCATGAGTAGAAGAAGCTACAGAAAAATATACAAGATGATTTTAGACAAATTGACTAGTGCAAGGTAATTGAATTCTAACTTTTTCTTAGAAACAATCATTCCAACCCCCCTGTACCTCATGTTTTCCATACTCATTAAATCTCTCTGGCAATAATGTCTTCATCATGCAACTTCCAAAACAACTGGGTTAATCTTAGGGCCATTGCAAGGCCTAGTGAAGAAATTCCTTAGGCTGGATTTCAAAACCTGCTCTGATTAGAAGGGAACCTACATTGTCCCCTGTAATTCATTATCCCTTAACTAACTGAATTTTTCACAAGTACTTTCAGTTTAGACCTTTATACTTCTGCTCACTTGGTTTCCCTTTCCTGGAACACTGTCCCTTCATTTAGTGTCTTCATTTAGTATGACCTAGCTCTAGTTAAACCTTTTGAAAGGCTTTGTTGATTATTCCAGCTCTGACACTCTTCTCTTCAGTATTTGTTCAATATCTTCTTCTCTACACCTTGAATCATTAATCTTTCTGTAATGTAGGCTATGATAAATTCTATGCTTCAACTTGGAAATCCTCACATACATTGCAAGCAACTCAAGGGCAACTTCCTTTCCATTCTTGTAAGATGATTCATTACAAAGAGTTGTGCTTGGCTTAGTACCCTGGATTTTTATATTCTGTTTCATAATTCTTACAACATTACTGGCAGAAACAATGAATATCTGTCTCTTTTTATTTCTACCATTGTCCTGAAACTAGTCTTAAAGATCATTGGAAAGTTAGCCATACTTCTGCATATAGAATGTAGATAAATACACTGTTGGAAAGAATGCATGAAAAGGCCAGCCATCCCTACGCATTACTCACCTTGCTGGAATGTCCTGTGGCAGAAGATAAAATAAGCCGTGGTGACAACCACTATGCAGCAAAGGGAGGTGATGCAGATGATGAGAAAGACTTTCAGGTTCCTTCCTAAAAGAGAAAATAAGACCAAGAGTTATGTGGTTTAAAATGAAGTTAGTCAAAGGCCCTATCCACTGCTGGACTTTGCGCATAATAATACTAACATACCAGGCACGATGTCGATGTGCCCATGGTATGATAGCAGCAAGACTAGTGTAGGACAATTAAGACCTTTCTGATTTTCTGATTGGAACTGAAAACTGCTCCACAGGAGGGAATATCATGCCTGGTACTATAATTTGGTCAAAAGTCTCTCTCTCTCTCTCTCTCTCTCTCTCTCTCTCTCTGTGTGTGTGTGTGTGTGAGTCATACACCCTAGAGTAGAATTTATTATACTTCTTTTTGTAAATATTCAATTTGCTATTTGAATATTATACCCAGAGACTTCTCTCTGTATTGACTAGGAAGCTTGTTTTGCATTTGACAGCCATCAATGCAGAGATACATAACTGGTAAAAGTGCTGAGAACAGACTTAGACTCACTTCTACTTTATGTGCATTGGTGTTTTGCCTGTATGTGAGGGTGTTGGATTCTCTGGAACTGTAGCTACAGACTCTTGTGAGCTGCTATGTGGTTGCTGGGAATTGAACCTGGGTCCTCTGGAAGAGCAGCCAGTTCTTTTAACCACTGAGCCATCTCTCCAGCCTCAGTGCTCATTTCTAAATGATGAATTTCTCTCTCTCTCTCTTACACACAACACGCGCGCGTGCGCGCGTGCACACACACACACACACACACACACACACACACACACGGGGCGGGGGGGAGAACTGAGAACCTCATGAAAGAGAGAGCAGAAAGGTTATGAGCCAGACAACGAGGAAGAGTGCTGTGGAATGCTATGTTCTGGACATCACAGGGTTATTTTATTCATGAATTTATAGTAGTATAGCTAGGGTTATCAGCTCAAATTGACATAAGATAAAGCCAAAAGTCCTGCAGAGATGGTAGACATGCTCGTCTTGCCCTACTCCTTACTGAATATTGCTTCTGGAGGAGAGAGACTCATTCTTTTTTCAGTGTGTTCCCACTCAGAGGTTTCCCATACTCCAGCAGATGGACTCAAACTCATGTACATCTGGGTGTTACTAGTTAGGTTTAGTGGGTTAACAACGAAGACATGAAGTTAGGAGGAGGTAATTTGCAGAGTATATGGTTGAAGTAGGAAAAAAGAAATGAGAGGTGAATATGAACATACTTCATTTTATACCTATTTGAAATTCTTGAGAATCAAGAAGTTATAATAAAAGCATTGCATATTTACATAATATTATTTCAAAAGACAAGATTGGGTGGGAATGGTGGTGGGATACTGACATTTGGGAGGAAGAGGCAGGCAGATCTTTGTGAGTCTGAGGTTGGTCTGGTCTACATAGCTGGCACCTGGAAAGCCAGCACTACACGTGCCGATAATGTAATATTGTTTATCCATGAATTATTAGTAATGGCCCAAATGGGAAGTTTTTCAGGTAATATTCAAGAAGAATAACATAAATTCATTGTTAAGCACATACATACTAACCAATTATTTAATAATTGAAATATATTGTATATAACAAACATATATATTCATATGAAACTGCCACTGACTCTGATAAACACACTGAGTAAACTAAACCAACCACAAAAATACATTATTTTATTCCTTTATAAGAGTTCAAAATAGCTTAAAATAATACATGGCAATAGAGACTAGGAAAAGAAAACATTTGGTGACTATTAGACTGCAGGTAATGTGGTTGTGAAGTATGTACATTTTAAAGATTTTTAAATATTAATTTACCTATACATTATTCATACAATGTTTCACTAAAAAGTTTGTTAAATTTTAAAAAGGCAGACAAATAAACAAAAATTGGCCTTGAGAAAAAAAATCAAATCAGAAACTCTAAGTATCAGCCTAGAGCATCTTGAGGTTCTGAACTAGCCAGAGAGAAAAACAAAATCCCACATTCTTAGGACAATCTTGATAAATGTCAGAAACAAAATGTCAAAACAAGTTCTCATAGTCCCACTGGTTGATTGCTTTTTGGGCCACAGGCAGACTTCTATTCTTTCCAAAGGGCCAAGATAGAATTTCACTTTGCCTAAAAAAAAATGGTGGTGGTGTTTTGACTTGCCAGCTTTTCAGAAATGCTATATTCATGAGATTCTGGCAACTTATGTTCAGCCATAAAGACTCTTCTCACTGAAGTACTCTTTGGTTCAAGTTCCCAGTTTCCTCTTTTCTCAAAAATATTTCCACTCAGAAATCTAGGGTACCTTGAGAGTTAATTCTGTCAATCTGAAAGGATCTAGATACTTCCAGGAGACAAGCTTCTGGGCATTACCTTAACTGTGGGCATCATTCTTCTATGGGCTGGCATTATGGAAAGAATGAACAAGGGAAAGTAAGTTGAGCACCAGCATCCTCTGCTTTTTGGCTGTAGATCTGATGTGATTATATGCCATGCCTTCCTTGCTGTGATGGACTGCACCCTTGACCTATGAGCCCAAATAGACCTTTCCTTTCTAAGGTGTTTTTTCCAGGTATTTTGTTGCAGAAATGACATAAGTAACTAATACAGGCATGTAAATAGTTGAAGGAATATACTGTACCGAAATTCTAGTCCTAAGTCTTATTTACTTGTTGTATGACTAATGGGTCAGATAACGGATCTTCCTCCAAAGATGTTTGCACACAGATTCTTAGAATTATATGTAACACAAAGAAGAATTAAGGTAAAAGACAGAATTAAGGCTGATTGTTATCTGCACTTAAAATAGGGAGATAATCATTACTGTTTCTGATGGACTCAATGTAATCATAAGGATTGATTTAATAGTAAAGGTAGGAGATATGAGAGAAGGTAAGAGTTAGAGGAAGATCTGAACATATTACATTACTGATGTTGAAAACAGGTGAGAGAAATCAGGAGCTAAGGAATGTGGGCAGCTTCTTCATAATGGAAAGCATCAAGGAATGGATTCTTTTACAAAGTGTCCGGAAGGACTGGGGCACTACTGGCACCTGATTTTAGCTCACTAACATCAGACTTTTGACAGCCATAGTATAAGAGAACATATTTATGTCATTTTACCATACAAAATTTGAAGTAAGCTTTTATGCTAGTCACAGAAAAGTTAGTGTAGTGACGTTGGTCAAGTCTTTAACCATTATTAGACTTTAGTTTCCTCATAACTTCCATGACACATTTGAATGGTATTCAATGCGCTCCTTTCATTGACTTTCACTTCATTCTAGTCAACATTCAAGATAACCTATTCCTCATACCTGCTTTGACTGATTTTTCTCTCCACCACTGCATTCTGTCATCTTGTCCCTTGTATCCTTCTGTTCCAGGAGTTACTGTTTCATGGCATGTGTGTTGTACTTCCCTCCTTCCTTAAGAGAAGCTGTTGGTTTTTGTTTTCATTTTGGAGAGATCGTTAGGTAGATGGCTCAGTGGTTTACATACTTGGTGTACAGCAAAACCAGAGTTCCCATCTCATTATTCACATAAAAATCCGACATAGTCATGAGAATCTATAAGCACAGTGTTTAGGAACAGAGGCACGCAAATTTTCTGGTCTTGTTGGCTAGCCAGTCTAGTCAGCATAGTGTGCTTCAGGTCATCGAGAGACTCCATCTCAAGAAAAATTGAGGTAGAGAACAGCAAAAACACCTAGAGGAGAGCTCTGGTCTCCATATGAGCATACACAGGCAAGTATGTGCACACACACGTACATTATATTAAACACACATACACACACACAAACTGCTTTTTTCCTTCTTATTGGCTTTTTTCTAGTTTCATGGCTTATATCTCACTCATTCTTACAAAATACACATGTGTAAAATTAAGAGCTAGAATCTACATATAAGAAAAAACATTCAACATTTATGTTAGTGAACCTAGGTTACTCCAGTTAACATATTTTCCAGTTCCATAAATTTTCCTGATATTTTATTTTTCCTCATGACTGCATAAATTTTTTTTACCAAATAAAAATGTATTTTCCTTGTCCATTCATCTGCTGGTTGTTATTTAGGCTGATTTTATTTCTTGTTGTGAATAAAGCATCAGTAAACATGGATGTGCAAATATGCCCATGGTAGGATATAGTGTTTTGGTATATGCCCAGCAGTGTGAATGGAATATCTTTTCTCATTTTGTTTTTAGCAAATTTGTTGGTGTATATATAAAATATTGATTTCATATGTTGATTTTATATGTTGATTATGTATCTTGAAACTTCATTGTGAACATTGTATTTAATAAAACTGGAGGTGATACACATTTTTACCTCATTTTACGTTTTAGAATGCTCTAAGTTTTTAAGCTTAGTGTAATGTTGGCTACAGGCTTTTCATAAGAAGCATTTAATTGTGTTGAGGTAGGTTCCACACATTCTTACTTTCTTCTGAAGTTTTATTAAGAAACGGAGTCTGTGTATCTGCAGAGATAACCAAGTTAATCTGACAGTCAAACTCAGCACCGTTGTCCACATGGAACTGACTTTGCAGAAATGAAGATTGCAGAAGTTAGTGGGTCATGAATTCTTTCTTCCCCTGTGGTTTCAAATAGAATCTAAGGTTAGTCAAAATGGGGCAAGAAAGTTCATTCATGAAGGTTCTACTACAGGGCAAATGACCTTGAAAGGCATCTGTAGAAGGGAAGTGGAAACGACCTGACAGGGAATGGTGTTGTGGGCAGTAAAATCAGAGGGGTAGAAACATGTAAGCCCTCTGATATCAGTCACAGAGCTATGGAGCTATGGGATTTGAGAATTTGTACTTTCGTGTTTCAGTCTTGCTTTGGTCCTTACTATGCCTCATTTCTCACTTTTATCATGGTAATGTATATTCTGTGTTATTGTATGTTAGATATAATTGCTTTTTATTTTACAGGGCATTACAGTTAAGAGATTGTCTTAATTATAATGTTTCTGATGGGTTCAATGTAATCATAAAGATCAATTTAATCAGAAGAGACTTTGGACTTGCAAATAGTAATCTAATTGTGCA